TATATAGCGCCAAATCACAACAAAAGTCGCCTCAAGGCGCTTCATAGATACAGAGAAAAACCCAACAATCATATGACCCCCTATGAGCAAGCACTTTGGTGACAGTGGGAAGGAAAAACTCAGTTTTAACAGGAAGAAACCTCCGGCAGAACCAGGCTCAGGGAGGGGCGGGGCCATCTGCTGCGACCAGTTGGGGTGAGAGAAGGAAGACAGGATAAAAGACATGCTGTGGAAGAGAGACAGAGGTTAATAACAGATATGATTCAATGCAGAGAGGTCTATTAATACATAGTGAGTGAGAAAGGTGACTGGAAAGGAAAAACTCAATGCATCATGGGAATCCCCCGGCAGCCTATGTCTATTGCAGCATAACTAAGGGAGGATTCAGGGTCACATGGTCCAGCCCTAACTATATGCTTTAGCAAAAAGGAAAGTTTTAAGCCTAATCTTAAAAGTAGAGATAGTGTCTGTCTCCTGAATCCAAACTGGAAGCTGGTTCCACAGAAGAGGGGCCTGAAAACTGAAGGCTCTGCCTCCCATTCTACTTTTAACACAAATAGCATGTTTCTTTAGAAGAATCTCAGACTAGTATCAGTCATGCATACAGCCATGCTACCCATGTCTGATGGGAATATTAAAAGCACTAATTGTTTTCCAAATATTGATATTAACTGCTATTATTGTTTCATTCACAGATCCCTCAGAGTACAGACACAGATGGGAGTTAAAGCAACACAAAACCTTACACTGTGTGAGCGACTGCACACCAGTAATAGAATGCTCTTCAAATCAGCCTTATTTAAAGTTGTCCCATGGCAACAAATATAAATCATTCACTGTTCTAAGATAGGAGGTTAACAAGCAGGTCACAGTGACATATGGAACAACTGGAGATGTGGTCATCACATTCCTCTGTGCTAAGGCAGTAAGGTTTTTATAGCTTGCAGTGAGCTGTAAACGACAGGAGCTGACATTTCTCTGAAGACTAACGATCATGTGAGTTACCGTACATTAAATAACCTCATAAAGCTGGCAGGGCTTTAACAAAGTCCTTAGAAAATGCTTAAAAATACATTTACAGTTTCTGCAAGGCTGAAGCAAAATGTAACGTATTAAAGGCTTTTGAACCTGTCTACTTGTACTCGCTGTCCATTAATCTGAAGGGTTCAAAAATATGGCTGAATTTGGAAAGGGTGTGAAGTATGATGATCACTATTGTAAGAGTCAAACCAAATACAAACAACTATCTAAATATTTGGGTAGAGCTCCATTTACAGTATGCATGCATGGTAAATGAATTGGTACTTACAGTATTATAGCGCATTTTACTATAAGCCATGTTCACACACACAAACTTGCCTGATTCAAGCACTTTCATCCAATGAAAACTGGGCAGAATATACACATGAAAACTGTACATTTATTAAAAAACAAATATAAAGTTTATAGCACCCAATGGCTAGCTGAAGTTCTGGTCATGTGCATATGAAAATACAGTCAAACCATAAAAATCTGCATTTCCATGACTTTATAAATTCCTCCAAGCTCCCCTAATGGCATACTTGCTAAGCAATAGAGATGATCTCTCCGCCAGAAGTATTACTACAAGCAGGAAGGCATGCCACAAGCAAATGTGATGCTCCACGCTGATGTTTAAGAAATATAATCATATTTACAACACATCAGCGTAGTGCTGGCCAGGCTTTGGCAACGTAAAAGTCGTTTCACTTCTTACGGGAAACATCAATACTGCGAAGTATTATGTAAGGCTACTTGCTGACAGACCTTGGAGATTATGTCAGTTATTATGTTACAAGATCAAATGGGATTAAAGTCAGAAAACATAAATTACTGCCAAGAAAATGATGCGCTTCACAAACTGTTCAAAACTTCACAATATCCTTATAAAGACAAACTGACCAGCCTGAAGTTGTTCCACATCTTTTTAAATCTTTTTACTTTGCTACGAGTCTCCAGTCTTTCACTTTGGCATCACTTTGTGGAGAAACACTATTACATTTCCATCTCCTCCTCTCCAGAGTTGTGGGCCACAGAGAAACTGTACAGAGGAGAGTGTGTGTCTGCTGGTGGACTTGAGGTGTTAAGGGGACTGGGAGATGGACATGGAGTTGGAGTCTGCCGACACACAGTCTGTTGTTTGCGCTGTTTTTGTAATGAGTCCTTAAGTCTCTGACTGAAGGGATCTTCTGGTGGCCGCCATAGCACCAGCTCCATACAGGAACGGCTCCTAAAGTGTGAGAAAGACGAAGGTGACACAAATATTAGCATCCCTAAAGAAGTGCAACTGCGCAGACTTCTTAATCAAGAAACTCTTGCCAGTTGAAAACAATATTTGGAGTCCGTCTCACATCATTACTCATATTTTTGTTTTTTTCCTTATGTTGTAAATTTGCCTGTACAGTCTATTTCTTGCTTTTTATATTCTTAACTTTTGTGTGAATCTGCATGCTCCATCTGCCTGTCGCTTTGCTGCTAGAACACCTGAATTTCCCCAATGAGGGACAATAAAGGATATATCCATTTCTATTTATTACTTAAAAATCACCATTAAATGTTCCAATAACAAAATAAACATACACAGACTGGGCTACTGTGTGGGGGAGGATGTCACTGATGCCCTGCCGCAGGCCCTTCTTCAAACTGTCAGACATCACCAGCACCGGGCGTCTCGGAGCTGGCTCTACATCCAGATCTTCATCCTCATCGTCCTCCAGTGTTATTCTGTGATACATCAATAGTACATTGTGGGTTGTCACTCTTTCTTGTGATGTAACCCCCAAACTCTTCACCAACACTGAATGCCAGATTTAAGAAAAACCCCACTTTGAATTATATAAATGTAAATGTTATGTATTTACTTTGTTCTTGACAATGTAAATACATACGTGAAAATACAAAACAGTCTGAAGGGTGGTCTGTGGGCCTGACATACATTGTATGCACATTATAAACAGAGACCTGTGCTTACAGAGGTACGTTCAGGATTGACCTCAAATACTCAGACATCAGAACTTTTTACTGGGTTACATCACTATGGTTACTTATTCTACATACCAAAACCTGCTTCGGGGCATGTACAACATACCCAGGATTATGTTTCCATTATCTGGTTTCACTTAACCCATCATTCGCAATCAGGATAATCAAGCATATGAAGCTAAATCTCTAAGCCAACCCAATGTTTCCCCTGCATGTTTACATGAAAGGGCTTGGCAACATCTGACCAATCACAAATATGGGTTGGTGAACTGGCAATAGAATCAACTCGTTTTACAAAGGAAGATACAACTATCATGCAGAGGTTAAAGACACAATACACACCATAATACAGCTGCTGTGAACAAATGACAAGTTGTGTTTTGTTCATTTTTTTTCTCCCAAATGTTATACATTGCATACCTGTCTTCTATCTCCTGAAGTTTTCTCTGTGCGGCCTCGATCTCCATGCAGGAGCTCTCCGTCTCAAGTCGGAACAGGGAAGAAGAGGTCTGCGGCAAAGTGGTGTTATTAGATGTTGTGCAGGACTGTGGAGGCGCAGGACAGGCTTGCTGTGCAGACTGAGAAGAGCAGCTGTTTGCACCAGACCAGTCACACTCTGTGCTAGTGCTCAAATTTGAAGGAGCAACTTCTGCCTCAAACATTAACCTCCTCTTTTTGGCACTGCAACCCCTGATAAAACAATCATATAGTTAAACACTTATGTAGGGCTAAGACAAGCATTACCAAATGCTTTTATTCTTTTCTTTTTTTAATAATTCATCTCTCACTTACTCATCATCTGCTCTCCTCCTGTGCTTCCTGAGGCATCTAGTCTCCCAGTTGCTGTGGAATAGAGGCACAGAAAATGCCTGTCGGGCTCAGAAATAAAAGTATATTTCAAATTAAGCCAAAGCGTGTCTGACAAATGTGGTGAAAACAAACAAACAAACAAACAAATAGTGCACTGTGCATCAGTTACATACCTGTTAGAGACTGTCGCTGTCTGTACATCCTCAATCATACTTGAAGGTCCGAGGTCGAAGTCGGGAAGGCTTGTGGGGCCTGAAAAGGAATACATGGCTGGCAGGCAGCTCAGCTCACTGCTTGGGGGCGCAGGGTGATGCATGCTGGCCCAATCGATGAAATGTTTTTGAAGAGCTACGCGAGTAAGCAGCTATTAACGACTCTGATCTGGAAGATCAGTATTGATACCAGTCAGTTAAGCCGATAAAGGTTTTTTTATTTTTATTTTTTTACAAACTACATGACGCACATGTTATTTGTTTACATCGCGCTAGCTGCCTCCTATTTAGCTAGCTATAACGCTACTGGCGTTAGCATGTTAATGATAAAACTGTGTGTTATTAATAGATGAGAGGTAAACACACGACAGCCTCATCCCTGCACTGAACAGCCACTCTGCACAAGTTAAGCAAAAATATTTGGCGTTAAAGAGCGAGTTGTGCAGCTGCCCTGCCCCATTGCCCTTTTTGTTGTTGACAAATGTGTTTAGTTAGCTCGCCTCCGTTCAGAGCTTATTTATTCTCCTTTAGAGAGTTCCCATTTTCACACAAAAATAGTTTTTACAAGCTAAAGTCGTACTAACCTAATCGCATGATACCCCCGTCGAATAGAAAAAGATCCAAAATTAACTGTCACCGTGCTCTGTGGACTTCTTCTATGATAGGCTGGGTCAAACTGACGTTAGCTCCTTACTCTGAGTCGCGCCAGAACAGTCGTCAAGGTTCTACAAAGTGCGCATGTTACGTTTAGTGGGATTGTGGGAAATGTAGTTCCAGTGGATGTACTACAAACTGTAGTTTCCGAAAAAGAAAAAAAACGACAAAAAAAAAACCGTCGTGGAAATGTAAAAGTGATCTCTAGTGACAATAAGACGGTGTTGGCATTTTATTTTTTAATATTAGAGATTTTTTTCTTAATTTCCGGTCAGCTGACGTTTAAAGGGACCCTCTCGCGTTATGATTGCGAATGACCAGTCATGTGACAGTGAAATACTAGAAGCTGTTGTCCCAGCTCGTCTCGTCACTCGGCTGTGATTTTTCACTTTGGACGATCCGTGGAGGTAACACGCTACTGTTTACAGGATATGTCAAAACAACGCTTTGATTTTATAATCATGTGATACTTATTGTCTGCTGTGATGCTGGCACACAATCCATGTCACTATAAATTAGTTATTTTTATATTTATTTTCTATTACTTGTACATGCATTCTTCAAAGATCCTTGCATTTTTATCACCCGCAGTGACTGTATATCTGTTTTACTTTTACTGTTTTTGTTTTTAACTTTAACTGTTTAGCCGAGTTGATTCATTTTCTGTGTGCCTGATTTTTGTATGTTTTAACCAGCAGGTTATCCAGAATGATAACTTTGGTGATAATCTCAGCACTGATTGGTTTTGCCTCTACCAAACCATGTGGTAAGCAGGCCGACTTTAAAAAGACCTCTTTACAAATTAATTTAAAAAAAAGAAAAGAAAACTTAACTATACTAAACTTCCTAAAGCTGCACTAACTCTGAGGCAACCCAGTTTGCAAATACACTTACTGACTAGTCTGGACATTCACAGATGTTGCAATTGCGTATTTAATGAATGTGAGTGATACATTGTGTTGCTTGTTTACTTAGTTGTGTAGGATTAACAGTGAATGTGGCTCCTCTTTGGCCTTGATCTGCTGAGAGTGTTGAACGCAGTAGTGATGATTCTGTAAATTAGTCCTGCTGATGCAGCAGCTATCGTTTTGCAACACTTTCAAAAGTTCATGTAAATGTCAACAGCAGCAGAGCAGAGATACTTATAGGTTTTGTTTGTGTCAGGTGACTTTTTTTTAAACCTATAAAGTTAAATTCCAGATACAGAAGGCTCCAACACTGAGCTGCTGCTTTCACTCAACAAGAATCTCCTTCGCTCTCTGGAGAGCCAGGAGGGACTTCCTAACCCCAGTGTCCACTTGGCATTACGCCTTTCCAATAACCACAATCTGGCCAAGGAGAGCGAACACCTCAACAGACTAAAAAATGAATTGCACAATGACATTCAAAGGTACACACACACACAACACACATTTATGCACACTTAAACACTTTCTATGAAGTCCTCTTTCTCCCCAATGTTCTCTACTGAGCCTTTTTTCCTCCTCTCAGCTCTCTCTCTAACAGTCAGCCTGTGACTGGTGTGCTGGCGCTCTACAACCTGGCTTTAAAGTCCTCCTGCTATGATCTCAACACGGTCAGCTTCACTGTAAACGAGAGGAGTGAAGCACTGCTGACACACCTGAAGAACCAGATGGAGCTGGAGAAAGAGCACATTGCCTGTAAGGTTTTTGTTTGTTTGTTTGATTTTTAGTTTCTGAAGGGCAATCATTGTCATAAATTTTTTTCAGCAATCCTCTCCTCTTTGATGTGCTACAGTATCTGACCAGAGTTTACCTAATGTAGAGGACGGGGGTCATATTTCATAGTTTGTGAATTTAGCAGGGATAGAGTAACTTTCTGTCTAATTTCATCCAGACTGAAATGCCTCATAATTTCTCAAACATTGCTGTGAAGTTGTGGTTCAGTGTAATTTGGTTTAATTTGCTTCTTCTCTCCTGCATTCAGTCAGCCACCGCCCTTTGACCAACTATTACCAGTACTCCCTGGGTGTGCTCGCTCTCTGTGTGAGCGGCATCAGGGTCAACAACCATGTGACCAACAAGCTCATCAAAGCAGCAGAACATGAGCAGTTCAAACATGGAGAGTCTGAGAGTGTGGGTGGGTGAAACATGCCTTAATGGTGTCTTTAGCTGTTAACATAAAGGTGAAATAATGATGCAGGAGTCACCCTGCTATTACCTACTAACAATCATGGTTTTAGGATAATTTAGTTTACCGCTGATGACACGATGACACATGATGGAGTAAACATATATTCACTGCCGTGTTATATTTCAGATCAAAATCCACTGAGTTTGAAGCTGAGGCCACCTGATGGATATTTAACAGGAAGCTCTACATACAGTTTAGCTTTCAGTTGTTTGTCTATGCCACAGTTTGCTCTGGCAAAGCAGTTACCTCTTGTAGTGCTAGCTTAGCTTTCACTAAACATCTACATTAGTATGCTGTGAAAATGCTAAAAGCTTTTCACTTTGTATTTTAGCTTTGAATACAGCTGTAATGATGCAGTTGTGCTAATATTTTATCCAATTTTTCTCCTCAGATACGTATGCCATGGCTGGAATGGCACTCCAGTGTGTGAAGGACTCTGGTTCTCACATGCAAAACGCTGCTGGGCTGGACACCGCTCTTAGCAAGATCAAGCAGAAGCTTCTAGCCTCCCGCAGGGCTGATGGTCATATTGGTAATGAATTCAGCACAGGCCTTGCAGTTCAAGTAAGGATCCTCTCTCTCTCTCTCTCTCTCTCTCTCTCTCTCTCTCTCTTCAGAGACTTCTACAGAGCAATATCTTTGCAGCTGAAGTGTGTTTATTTGATGTGTTCAAGGCCCTGTTAGCAATGGGCAGTGAGGTTGCAGAGTGTGCCGCCTCAATGGAGGCCATGAGGACAGCTGCTAGAAGCAACGCATACCACAACCCCATGGCCATCTCTCAGACTCTGCCTGCTCTCCAGCAAACATCCTACATGTCAGTTAAAAGCAAGGAGTGCCTCACTGAGGATAGTATGTGCAGCATCATTTCTACCCTCTTTGGCCACTTTAGGTTGTGTCTGTTGCCACTCTAACATTGTTATATGTGTACCTTCCTGCAGACACTCTGGTGCTTGAGCCCTTAGATCCTGTAGTGGTTTCACCAAACCAGGTCAAGGTGAATGTGATGGTGGAAGTGGTGACATCCAGCGGAGCAGCAGCACTTTACTCGGTGCATGTGCCAAAGGGCAGCTCCCTGCTAGAGGCTCTTGAACTGCTCAAGGAGGAAAATGTTGGCTTCACGTGAGTTCATGCAATTGTATTTTACCTTGCGCGTGATTGGCTGCAGTGAGTAGTCTCTGACGATGCTGTGTGGCAGGTTTGAGAAGGAGTCCAGCCTGTGGGGACCTTTCTTAAGTGTGGTGAATGGAGAGCAGGCCAGGCAAAGTGACCGCAGATACTGGCACCTCTCCTCAGATGACACTGCACTCACTGAGGGTGAGTAGACACACACATGCATGCAAACACACTTTAGACTGTGATGCACAAACGAGGATTTCGTTGATCTGCTTTCACTGTGTCTCTCTGTCAGGTGTCCGTGATTTCAAGATCGAGGCGGCTCAAAGGATCACCATCAGAAACACGAGCTACTGATGTTCCAGCCAATCAGTGATTAGATGATCAGCACTTTAATCTTTATGAACTAATGATTACACCTAAATTGTCTCTTGGCATCATATATCAATAAATCCCACAATTACTTAACAGAATGTTTGCATTTTAAGAAGATATGAAGATTGAACAAAAGTGTAATTAAAAGCTATTTCAAAGTTTGTGTTGAATATTTTTACTTTGGAAAACGTTTTTATGATTATAATATAATTACTACGAAATGTCAAATAAAATGACTTTTGTGATTATGCTCTTTTGAAGACTTTTTTTTTAAGGACAATCTATTTGTATGCTTTTTATATTGTTACAAACAGTATAAACCAGTGACAGTTCATCTGAATTTATTTATTTTCTATTTTTTTGGATGGCTTTTCAAAAGTATGTAGTTTGAATAAAAATAAAATGATAAAAATGCAGAATAAAAAAAAATGTAGTGCCTGTTTAGCTTTCACACTGCGTTACTGCGTGCTGACTGCTGAGGTAAATTATTGTCTTACAGGCTAGGTTGTTTGCACTAATAAACAGGTGCCATGAATCTTTGTTAACATGGCTGGAGTAGATGTGTCAGTGCACTAAGGTTGAAAATGGCATCTTTCATATTCATCTGGCAAAAATAATTTATAGGAAAGTTTGTATCTATTTATTAAAGATTGGTTGAGGACCCTTTGCCACATGCATTGGCTGCATATAAACATCATTATATTACAGTTTACGGCCATATGCACATCATATATTGTAGGGTATGGGCCAAATTTACTAAGAAAGCTAGTGGAGTCGTCTGCGTGTGATGGGAAGGTGTGACGCTCACTAATATCCGCTGATTAGAGGCAACGTGCTAATTTTCGAACGCAGAAGCACGTGCTGTCCGTGGCCCTGAAACGTGACAACAACGTGAAAAATCAATGCCATTACGTTGAGTGTTTAATATGTTTAAGGCGTTTTTGCGTAAAGAAATGGTGCTTTGCAACACTATGGGACGGTAAGAATTTCTGACAGGCGTTCAAGAAAATTAAAGAAGTGACTTTTGTTGGTGTTTCAGGTTATCTTTGATTTCCGCAGCAATCAGCATGCTGTTTGTCAGCAAGTGATGTGTTTTGATGGAGTCCATTTAAAAATGCATTATCAGGTTTAGTGAAACACTCTCTCTTTTAATAGCCTATACATGCATCGAGACCTATGTAACCATCTTTGTTTAGTTTGAGTTTAATGCTGGCGCCCTCATACCCTGTGCTGATGAAATCAAACAAGTTTTTCTACAAAGGCACACGAACACAGGATACTTTATTTATTTTATAATTATCTTTAATTTTGATTTTTTTTTTTTTGATTGTTTGTTTGTTTTACTTTATTGTAGACACGCTGAATACAAACTACCGGATTACGCTAACTGGACAGGAAACTTAAACTTAAATCTCGTAAACTGGGAATTTCTTGGCCATTTAGCGAGATTACACCAGTGCAAATCTCTCAGTACATGTAAACAGAAAACTAAGAAAACCTACAATATACATATTTAAAATAAAAACAAACCTCACAAACATGACGAATGTAAGTACCCCCACCGCCCAAAAAAACCCCAAACCCCCCAAAAAACGCTAAGCACCGAGGTTGAAATGCGTATGAAAATTTCACTGTGTGAAAAATAAATAAAGAATAAATAAATAAATAAACACTCGCGTTGTCACATGAGAATGTACATTTATAT